CTTGCGGTTTGCAGCCCGATTCGTAACCACTACACTACCAGAGCTCCTCTGAACAGGACACAAAACACAAACCCAGATATTGTCAAGTCAGCTTTGACTCATTGTGACCCCATACGTATCGGTAAACATAAGGGCTGATTTTCAAGAATAGATCACCAGGCCTTTCTTCCAAAGTGCCTCTGTTGTTGTTTTTAGGTACCATCGAGTCAGTACCGACTCATAACAACCCGATGCACAACAGAATGAAACACTGCCCAGTCCTGGGCCAACCTCACAACTGTTGCTACGTTTGAGCCCACTGATGCTGCCACTTTGCCAATCCATCTCGCTGGGGGTCTTCCTCCTTTTCTCCAACCCTCCACTTTACCAAACATGATATCTTTCTCCAGTGACCGGTCCCTCCTGACAATATGTCCAAAGTATGAGAGATGAAGTCTGGCCATCCTGGCCTCCAAGGAGCACTCTAGCTGTACTTCTTCAACACAGATCTGTTTGTTCTTTTGGCAGTCCATGGCACTTTCAATATTCTCCTCCAACACTATAGCTCAAATGGATCAATTCTACCATCTTCCTTATTCACTGTCCAGCTTTCACATGCATATGAGGTTATTGAAAATACCATGGCCTGGGTCAAGTGCATCTGAGTGCCTCTGGGTGTGCTCAAATATACTTGGTAAGTTTCTAAGTGTGTTACCCATCTGACAAGACAACAGACCCCAGACGAGGGGCAGCTGGGACCCTGGAAGACAGTAAGGTAGTCCAGGAAGCCCTGCGTTGAGGCTCAGGGATCCAACGGCCGGGCACATCAGAACGACCAGTAGTTGCCACATAACCAGGAAAGGCTGCCAGACTCAGGGCCACCATTCTGCATTCTGGAACCTGCTCTCCACTTTAGTCTGAAGCTGTCACTACCAAACGCAATTATTTTATTTCCTGACAGTACTTGCCTGGAGCAGTGAGAAGACTCAAAAGTCCTCTGTGTGACCAGCCATCCATGGCTTGGGCCCAGGCCACCTAACACTGTCCGCTCCACTCACTCCACCCGGGCCACACTATTTTATCACTTCCAAACACCAGTGGCAGGCCCACCTCATTTCTCCCAGATAGCCACGGATTTTCTCCCTCACCTCCTTCAAGAACTGGCACTTTCTTTGGGAGAATGTCCCCAACCAGCCCGTAGACACTTATCATTACTTCACCCCTACCCCTCCCGCACTGCCAACTGCCACCATCTCTGCTTTATATTCCTTCATAGCACTCAACATTATTTTATTGACTGCGCTATTTCTCTTACTGATTATCGACCTCCATCCACTAGGACATCAGATCCAGGAGTGTTGGTTCCGTCTATCAGTTCACGCTGTGTGTAAAGTGCTGTTAACATTGCTGAGCACCCCCATTTCCGGATGAGGAGAGGTGTTGAATGGCTCAGGGTCAAAGCCACGCCAGGACGCAATCCCAGGTCTCCCTAAATCCGGGTTCTGCTGCTGTCCACCTAGTGTGCTTCCCCACCTGGCCACAGCCCCTGCCTCGAGGGACTCCAAGGGCCAGACATGGTCTACTGGGAGGAGTGGGCAGTCTAGGTCACAGAGGAAGGATGATACCCCCAGCCTGCCTGAGCCTCCTCAGGCCCCAATGGGTGCCTCAAGTCCTGGGAACAAAGGCCTCTGTACAGCCTCCCATTCTCAAAGCAGGAAGATGACCACCAGTGAGGGGCTTCCTGCCAAAATTCATGGGCAGGCCTACTGTGAGTCCCAAAACCAACCAAACAGGGAGGTCACAGTTCCTCCCTGCAAAGAATGAGACTGGAGATGGCCAGGGTGGAAGCCTGAAAAAGGACAGTTGTTGGAAAAAGAAGCAAGCAGGAAAAGAGCACTGGGCCACAAGTCAAACGGACCTCCTGTGAGATGCTTGACTTTGGGGGTCTGTTTTCTCCTCCGAAGAATGTGGAGGGTGTGTGTAGCTCCAGGTCTGTCAATCAGACACCCGGTGATTGTTTCAGGGACAGGCATATTGACCCAGGCTGGGCCGATGAGAGCCGGTCCTGTGACTACGGCTGGAACAACGCAAGGACACACACTTTTTCTTTAGGGGTGACTGATTGAGCTGGTTGGCTCCAAGCTTAGAGGTGCCTTCTAGAAATGTAGTATCTGCTTGGAAATGAAGCTAACTCAAAGAGAGCCACTCCCATCAAATCAATTCCCACTTACACAGATCCTCCCGGACAGAGGAGAACAGCCCCTTAAAGTTCCCTAAACTGTAAATCTATGGGCGCAGACAGCTTCATCCTTCTCCTGAAGACCCGCTGGTAGGTCTGAACCACCAAACTTGCACTTAGCAGCCCAACTCATCCCACTGTGCTACCAGGGCTTCTGAACCCTGGTGATGAGAGCAAAGTGATGAGACCTTAGTCCTAATGAGCTAACTTAGTCCTAACTGATCTGGATGTCAGCTTTTGCCTTTTCTGAAAAAGAGCTTCAACACCGACTTCAACTGAAGTGGTGTGAGCCTGGAGAGGAGGCAGGTCAAGCAAGTCACCCAAAAGGGAAAAAGCTTTGCAAGTTAAGATAAGATTTAGCAAGTTCCCTCCAATGGAGGGTGGCTAGAAGTCCAGAGAGGACACTGGGACAAAAGTCCTAGCTGGTGATGCCGAGGCCCAAGAGGAGGAGCAGACACCTCCCTGGAAGTGGCCTAGCTGAGGTGTCCAGACCTCTGCTCCAGGATCAGGCAACCTCACTTAACTGGGCCTTGGACTCCAAATGCCAAGCCAAGAGGGCAGTTGCCCAAAATGGGACAAATCACATGCTTTCAAATCCTAGCGTTACCACTTCTGGCTGTGTAACCTTGGACAAGTTACTTAACGGCTTTGTGCCCAGTTTCCCCATCTCCAACTCACAGTATTGTTGGAGCATTAAGTGAGCTAACACATGGAAAGATCTTAGACCAGAGTGAGACCCCAACATCTATCACATATTGTTGCTATTAACAAAACTGAACCAACTTGACGGGTCCTGGTGTGGCAAGGTGGGTTAAAGCACTGGACGACAAAGTCGGTTTGAACTGCAAGATTGGTGGTTCAAGTTCACCAGCTGCTCCTCGAAAACCCGATACAAGGTCGCTATGGGTTGGAACCAACTCGATGGCACTTAACAACAACAACAACAACAAGGTGAGACCTAGAGGCGACCCAGTCTCTGGATCTTGCTGTAAGTGGGGAAGTTAAAGTTATCTGGATTCCAATCCTGGCTCATCCACTGAATTTTAACTGTGGGGCTTTGAGCAAGTCACCTCCAATCTCTGAGTCTCAGTTTCCTCATCAGAGCTGCTGAGAGAAGAAAATATCAAGGAAAATAGCAAGGGTGTGGCACATGGCATAAGGGCACAGAGGGGGCGTGACATCCTCCCTGTTCCTGACAAGCGCCCTGAAGGGGAAAGAAGAGACGTGGACTGTCTTCCCTGGAGCTCTCTTCCCTCCCCTAGGGTGCCAGCCAAGGGCCCCCAGGCAGGTGGGTAACTGCACCCACATTCCCAGAGTCTGGGGTGGTGTGGCTTCACCCACCTGCCCTACCCTGATCTGGGTTTAGGGCAGGGTGCTCACTCGTACCAGACAGCCTGGGCTCTCGCTGAGACTGCACAGCCTTCACTTACAGCTGCCAGCTCCCTCTGCTGTGGGACAGCCCTGCAGAGATATATACTTGCCCTGCTGTGGGTGGCTGTGACGGTCAGACCTCCCAAACCAGAAGCCCTCTCCCATGCCAACATTCTCCCCAAGTCCGGAGTCTCTAAGGAGTGACTGGACACTCTGGAGGGGCAGCAGCTCTGGAGGGGCAGAGGTCAGCCCATCACCCTGCCTACATGTCCCCATTACTCACCGGCCTCTCCAGGGGTCTCCCGACTGAGCCCACACAGCATGTCCACTATTGTCTCTCCTGCTACCCACTAAACTCCCTTGGAGCCAAGCTATTTGGCCCCTTCCGCACCCTCTCCAGGCTCATAGCTCCCACTGGCTGGGCACAGAATCCACCCACTGCAGCGGGCGGTTCCTCCCTTAAAGGGGACACAGTTGTTCTTGTGACTGGCTTTAGGACAGGGTCCGACACCCCCATGCATGTGAGTCTGGGTGGAAGGTGGAGGCATTTGAACCCGACATGAAGTGGGGCTTTCACAGAGTACTTCGACACAGCCCTACAGGATACCTGAGCGCCAGGCCCAGCTCTGCCCCTAACTTACCCTGGGAATTTGGTAAGTGACCTCTCCAGGCCTCAGTTTCCCTTCCTGGAAAAGGAGAGCAGTGCTTTCCAAACTTCAGTTATTTAAAACAGCCGATTCCAACCACATCCCAGGATGTAACAGACAAAGATCTCAGTTTCCTCTTCTGTAAAATGGGGGCTGGGAAGGAGTACCCCAGCAGTCTGCTATGTGGAGCTTCCACCTGTTAGTGATAGCTAAGAGAGAGAGCTGGACACAGCTCTGCCTGCTCTGGGCTTGATGGGCAGGGGCAGCTGGTCAGAGGCTCTGGTCACAGCTGGCCCTCAGCCTGGCACACTCCTAGGGCTCCTCCAAGCCACCCAGATTGACTGACTTGATTCAGTCTGGCACCTAGGGCCCCTCCTCCAGCTGCCCACAAGGAGTAGCTGGTTGGACTCAGCTGCTCCTGTTCACTAGCCTTTAATATGTGTTGGCACTAACTGAGTACCAGGCACAGTAGGTCCTGGGAAAATTGTGGGGACAGTGGCGTGAGGCACTAAGCAGTGGACAAGGACTCTGGTGCTAACAACTGATATGGCAACACATGCATCTGGCTGAATGCAACCTAGAATGAGCCAGCTCTGGGCCTTCAGGGAACAAGCAGGGTCCAGTCTGCTCTGTGTGTTCTGCAGAGGGGGGAGCGCAGCCTGATGGTTAGGGCCAAGGACCTTTCTCTGGGCTCCCTCCAGAGCATGATCACCCCGGATTCTTGGGCAGCCCCATGCCAGCTCCTGCCAGCTCAACACTAATGGCACCATCAGGACAACTAGATTCTAAATCCAGGGTCTGGACCACTTGCACTCTTGCACCCACAGGCTCCAGTTCCTTCTAAGATTGCCTGCCTCTCTGAATGACTTCAGGTATGTCACAAGTGCAGGGTCCAGGGAGGGGTCAGGGTGCATGCAAGGACAGCAGTGAGGCCACAGGTCAATGAGAGATTAAGGCTGGGTGGTGCTGGCTAGTAGCAGTTGTTGGAAGAATCGACAAGCAGGGTGTGGGGGTGTGGTAAGTAAGAACCTGACCATCACCAAGGAGCTGGTTCCCCTTTGGGGCAGTCCCAGGTCCAAGCTGACCCCATGGCCCTTCTCAAAGAATGAACTGCTTGCTCTCACAGGCCTTTGCCCACGCCATGCCTCTTTCCCCCATTTACTACCTCTTCAGGGAAGCACACAGGCTTTTGTGGGGTTACATCTGTCCCTTCTAAGAAAGTCTGTGCTTGTTACAGGATTGCATTTAAATGAGTGATTAAGACTGGCAGTTGGAAACCGTGCCAAGTCTCCATGTCTCTTGCTGCTTTTTTTGCAATTTGCTTTTGTGGATGAGAAAGTACTAGGAAAGCAGTGCTGGACTGGGGGCTGTTGGGCAGATTTCAGCATCTTTCTCTAGGGGCTTTCACTGTGCCAGGCATGGGACCCTGAAGTGACAAGACAGACGACAAACAGTACCTTCTCTTAGCCCTCTGTCCCTATCACCTTGAGTCCATTTTCACTTAATTTTATTCCATTTTAAGTTTGGAAGCAACATTGGTTCATTCTGAAACAAGGGAAAAACAAAACACCAAACCCACTGTCGTGGAATCAATTCTGACTGCTGCCAACCCAACAGGACAGAACTGCCTCCTAGGGTTTCCAAAACTGCCAATCTTTACAGAAGGAGACGGTCCCGTCCTTCTCACAACACTTAACCCACTGAGCCACCAGGGCTCCTTCTAAACAAGGGCAGGTAACTTGCCCAGGGCCACCCAGCAGGAGTCACAGCCAACTTGGCTGTTGGTAAGCACACTGCCCAGGGCATGGCAGTAGTTCAGGGGGCTAGAAGAGTGCAGATAAGAATCCTCTAGACTTTACCTGGGGAGCCTCGGGGAAGATGTTTCTAAGCCTGACTTTGGAGGGTGGGAGGGAACTTCTCAAGAAAAGGAAAAGACATTTCAGATGCCAGAGTCTGTGGACGGAATCCCAGCTGACTAGTAAGGTGTATGGGCAGAGCCAAACCAGGAAGCGTTGTCTACAAGCTCCCACTCCTTCGAGTGTGTATGCGGACCTGTGATGGCTTACTCACGAAGCAAGGAGCGCACAGGTGTGCTTGTGTCTGCTCACTCATCTGTAGCAAACAGTTTTTCCACATCAAAGATGTGATAAAAACCCACGTGAAGCTACTAACTTCAGATTAGTAAGTCTGTACATTCCTTGCTTCTTTGGTAGCCCACCCTCAGTGTGGCCCACGTGCCAACAGCATTGACATCATCCAGACCCTGTCACAAGGGCAGACTCTTGGGCCCCACAGCAGGTCTGCATCTTAGCAGGGTCCCCAGGTGGTTCGTATTGAGTTTGAGAAACTTATATGAAGGAAGCTCAGCTTTCAGCCTGCAGACAGCAGGGAGCCACAAACCATCGTAGGGCAAGAGGGTGAAAAGGCTTTGCCAACCCATCAGGCATGGAAAAGCTTACAGGAGCAGGGAGGAGAATTACCACCTTGGAGACAGCCTGGGAGTGAGCAGCGAGCAAGCAAAGATGACCCCTCAAGTCCAAGACTTCAGCCTCAGGAAAGCAGAGGATAAGGGGGACAGATTGCTGGGCATGCTCGGTGGCTGAAGCCAGGCCTACCAACGGCTGCAGTGACAGCACACAATGGTTGCACAATTTAAACACCCCAGATGGGATGGCATGTGCGGGGAATTAGGCAGCCCTGGGGAGACAGTACTCCCTCCATTGTTAGGAAAGGCCCATGATGCCTCTGAGCACCATGTCTTGGCTTTGGACTGCGCTGGGGGGAAAGGAGGTTGTGAGACAGTTGAGCCTGGAGTTTGATCACAGGATGAATTCCAGCCCAGTTACCTATAGGCTGTGTGAACTGGGGTCTGGGCTCAAACACTCTGGTCCTCAGCTTCTTCAGCTGTAGAGTGAGAATAATAAAAACACTCACCTTCTAAGATGCAACTATTGGTCTCTCCCCATCCAGAGCAAAGAAGAGTAAAGAAAATTCAAGACTCAAGGAAACACCTGGTCCAAAGGACTCATGGATCACATGAACCACAGTCTCCACTGCCCTGAGACCCGAAGAACCAGATGATGTCCAGCCTACCACAACCAACCACTCTGGTTGGGATCACAACAGAAGGTTCTGAAGAAAGTAGGAGACAAATGTAAAACAAAATGAAAACTCATAAAATGAGCAAACTTATTGGTCTGATCAAGACTGGTGGAACCCCAATACTTAGACACCTTCAAACCTGTAACTGAATCCACTTCCAGGGATGACTTTTTAGTCAAACGACACAGTCCTATGCAGTGTGCAGTTAACCCCCTGAGGAACATCCGCCTCAGATCAGTCAACCACTGGAAACCCAAAGGGCAGCATTTGCCCCAGAGCAAAGTTCAAGAAGCAGGAAAGACAGACAAATGGAAATGGGGACCCCAGGGAGGAAATGGGGAGAGTGCTGTTCCATAGAGGAGATTGCAACTAATGCTCCAAACAAAATCTGTAGAAATTGTTCAATGGGAAACTCATTTGTTCTGTACATTTTTAACCAAAGCATAATAAAATGCCCCCACCACCATCCCTACCTCCAAAAATGTCTGCCTTGAGCAATAGGCTCTTTTAAGATACCTAGACGGGATTCAACTAATAACTGCAACTCACAAGACTAGATAGGAAACTTAGTAGATAGTGAGCTGATGTTAATGGCAGGGGAAGGTTAGAGAAGAGGGTTAGAAAACATGTCACCAATGTCCCTGAATTGAACACAAAGAATTGGAGTAAGTGTATATTCTCAACAGCAAAGACAATAAAAATTTAGTTTTAAATAATAAACCATTCACCCCCTAGGTTGGGGAGACCACATGCTAGCAAATCACGAAGTGTCTCTCTAGTCACCTCCCTGCCAAGAATCTCATGCTAATGCTAAAAAACCGGCTGGAGAGGCAGAATTTCAAGGTGGTGGGTGCATAGGCCCTGGAGTCAGACCTGCTCAGGGTCAGCTCCCAGCAGCTGTCTGACTCTGGACAAGTCACTTGTCCTTGAGTCCTTGAGCCTGTGTCCCCAGCCATGAGTGATGAGGGGCAGACACATTGAAGGGCTTTGCAATCGGAGTATGGAGCACATGTTTCATGATTCAGCCCTACAGAGTCCTGGTGTGGTACCGTAGGATAAGCACTAGACCACAAGGTCAGTTTAAACCACAGGGTCGGCGGTTCAAAACCACCAACCACTCCCCAGAAATCCTGCGCAGGGTTGCTATGCGTTGGCACCGATTCAACGGTACTTACCAACAACAAGGCCCAGACCTGAGGTCTTTTCTTCCATCTCTTAGCAGGGAACACTGGTTCTAATGTTGGGACAATGCTTTAGTCCCCAGTGCAGGACTCCTGGCACAACTGGTCTCCTCCCACTAAATGGCAGTGATGACCTGAATCCTTGAGATAACCTGACACACTCCCACCTGCCTGGGAAAAGCAACTGTCACAATGGAGAACCAACCACACTGTACAGATGAGAAAACGAGGGGGGTTGTCATGTGAAGATGCATCTACAAGCAACAAAAGAATGCCAAGTATTGCTGGCATGAGACAATTCCTCCTGGCTCAAAGTGCTCTCAGAAGGAATAGAAATAGCCAATTCTCTGATCTGGAAATTTCTGTTCTTTAATGCCACTCTGCTGATGTTGCTGTGTGCTGGCCCTGCAAGATTGAAAATAGTGGCAGTGATGGTTCAAT